TGGGTTAATTTCTGGTGTTTCAATTCTGTTCCATTGGTCTATCCATCTGTTTCTGTAGCAGGACCATGCTGTTTTGATTACAACTGCCCTGTAGTATGTCCTGAAATCTGGTATTGTGATGCCTCCGGATTTGTTTTTGTTGTACAAGATTGCTTTAGCTATTCGAGGTCTCTTGTGCCTCCATATAAATTTCAGCACCATTTTTCCAGATCTGAGGAAAAGATCTTCGGTATCTTGATTGGTATTGCATTGAATGTATAAATTGCTTTTGGGAGAATGGACATTTTGATGATATTGATTTTTCGAATCCATGAGCATGGAAGATTTTTCATTTGTTGGTATCCTCTTCTATTTCTTTCTTTAAGGTTTTGTAATTTTCATCGTAGTGAACTTTTTTTTTTAAATTTTATTTAATGAATATAAATTTCCAAGGTACGACTTATGGATTACAATGGCTTCCACCCATACCGTCCCTCCCACCCACAACCCTCACCTCTCCCACACCCTCTCCCCTTCCATTCACATCAAGATTCATTTTTGATTATCTTAATATACAGAAGATCAGCTTAGTATACATTAAGTAAGGATTTCAACAGTTTGCTCCCACACAGAAACATAAAGTGAAAAATAATAGATGATTTTTTTAAATGATGATGAAATCAGATCAGACCTATTGTCATGTTTAATCCCAGTGAGAGCCAATTTGGGAATTGATAATTTCTTCTTTCTTCCTTTTTTTGTTTTACAGAAGATCAGTTTAGTATACATTAAGTAAAGATTTCAGCAGTTTGCACCCCCATAAAAACACAAAGTGAAACATATTGTTTGAGTACTTGTTATAGCAGTAAATCTCAATGCACAGCACATTAAGGACAGAGATCCTACATGAGGAGTAAGTGCAAGGTGACTCCTGTTGTTGACTTTACCAATTGACACTCCTGTCTATGGCATCAGTAATCTCCCTATGCTCCAGTCATGAGTTTCCAAGGCTATGGAAGCCCTCTGAGTTCTCCGATTCTTATCTTGTTTAGACAAGGTCAAAGTCAAAGTGGAGGTTCTCTCCTCCCTTCAGAGAAAGGTACCTCCTTCTTTGAAGACCTGTTCTTTCCACTGGGATGTCACTCACAGAGATCTTTTGCCAGAGTGTCTTGTCTTTCCATGCCTGAAATACTCTCATGGGATTTTCAGCCAGATCCGAATGCCTTCAGGGCTATTTAGGACATCCGCCATTCTATGAATCTGCTGAGTATCTCACTTCCCATGTTGGATCACTCTCCCCTTTATTTATTCTATCGGTTAGTGTTAGAAGGTACTATACATGTTTATGTGCTCCCTTTGACTCTTAGTCCTTTCATTATGATCAATTGTGAACTGAAATTGATCACTTGGAATAGTGAGATGGCATTGGTACATGCCACCTTGATGGGATTGAATTGGAGTCCCCTGGTATGTTTCTAACTCTACTATTTGGGGCAAGTCAGCCTGAGCATGTCCCAAATTGTACATCTCTTCCCTCTCTTATTCCCACTCTTATGTTTAACAGGGATCACATTTCAGTCAAATTTCAACACTTAAGAATAACTGTGTATTAATTACAGAATTAAACCAGTCATATTAAGTAGAACAGACAAAAAAAAAAAAAACTACTAAGAGGGATAATGTATTAAGTTGTTCATTAACAGTCAAGTCTATGCTGATCAAGTCACCATTTCTCATAGTGTCCATTTCACTTCAACAGGTTTCCTTCTTGGTGTTCAATCAGTTGTCACCGATCAGGGAGAACATATGGTATTTGTCCCTTTGGGACTGGTTTATTTCACTCAGCATGATGTGTTCAAGATTCCTCCATTTTGGTGCAAATGACTGGATTTCGTTGTTTCTTACTGCGGTATAGTATTCTAAAGAGTACATATCCCATAATTTCTTTATCCAGTCTACCGTTGATGGGCATTTAGGTAGGTTCCAGGTCTTGGCTATTGTGAATTGTGCTGCAATAAACATTAGGGTGCAGACCGCTTTTTTGTTTTCCAATTTAAATTCCTTTGGGTAAATTCCAAGGAGTGGGATGGCTGGGTCGAACGGTAGGGTTATCTTCAGGTTTCTGAGGAATCTCCAGACTGACTTCCATAGTGGCTTGACCAGTTTGCATTCCCACCAACAGTGGGTTAGTGTCCCTTTTTCCCCACATCCTTGCCCGCATCTGTTGTTGGTAGATTTGTGTATGTGAGCCATTCTAACCAGGGTGAGGTGAAACCTCATTGTGGTTTTGATTTGCATTTCCCTGACTGCTAGTGACCTTGAACATTGTTTCATGTGCCTGTTGGCCATTTGGATTTCCTCTTTTGAAAAATGTCTCTTGAGTCCTTGGCCCATCTCTTAAGTGGGTTGTTGGTTTTGTTTTTGTGGAGTCTCTTGATCTCTTTGTAGATTCTGGTTATCAACACTTTATCTGTTGCATAGTTTGCAAATATTTGTTCCCATTCTGTCGGTTTTCTCTTCACTCTCCTGACTGTTTCTTTTGCAGTACAGAAACTTCTCAATTTGATGCAATCCCAATAGTTGATTTTGGCTTTGACTGTCTGTGCCTCCCGGGTCTTTTCCAGAAATCCTTTTCCTGTGCCAATATCTTGCAGGGTTTCTCCAAGGTTCTCCAATAACTTGATGCTTTCAGGTCGTGACGTGATTCTGCACGTGGAAATCCAATTTTCCCAGCACCATTTATTGAATAGACTGTCCTTGCTCCAGGAATTGATTTTAGATCCTTGATAAAATATAAGTTGTCTGATATTCTCTCTTCTGTTTCACCCATTCTGTTTGTAAGGCTCTCTATTGTGTTTTTCATTTGATCTATTGAATTCTTCACTTCATTATGATTTCTCGTCACTATCACAGTTTCCTGTTGTATTAGTTGTTTCATTTCATTTTGATTCTTCCTTAATATTTCTTTTTTTTTTTTTTTCATTTTCACGAGAGAGATTTTCTACCTTGTCCATTAAGGATTTCTGTAGTTCAAGAATTTGTTTTTGAGAACTTCTTAATGTTCTTATCAATTTTTTGAGATCTGCTTCTTGCATTTCTTCTAACTCATCATCTTCATAATCTTGAATTGGGGTGTCTTTTCATTTGGGGGCGTCATGGTGACTTCCTTGTTTTTATTACCTCGGTTTTTGCATTTGTTATTTGGCATATTGGAGATATTTGGTTTCTTCACTGTGGTGCTTTCTCTTGGTATACTATGACTCTAGATTAAGTGGACTGTCTGTTTTTGATGGAGCCTTAGAGGCTTGAGATGGGTGTGGACTGAGAGCTCTGTTTGGTGTGCCAAAGGTGACACTCCCAGGTTAGGCATGGTAGATCTCTTTCTCTTTCTGTCTTTCTTTTTTTGATTCAAAAGGGAAGTAATTCCGCACAGCTGAAAGAAGTTGGAGGTAGTTAGCAGGCAAATGATATACCCACAGGAGCCAGAGATCAGAAACTCTTTCCCAACGACCACACAGGGAATCTGTTCTGCCCTCAAAGTGGGCTCAAATTCTCCTTCAGTCTCCCACTGGGTTGCCAAAGTTATGGAATTGCAGCATCTCTGGAGAGTGCCCACGTGAATTCCGTGAGTTCTCTCCCCCACCATCTCTGTTTTCACAGTCTCAGTTCAGTAGCACCAAAAATTTACTAGGTCCTAATCTCCTGATAATTCGCCCTGCCCAGAGTCAGGTTTTTCTGCTAGGCTCAGGGCCGGTGCAGACCTGAGGTCGCTCTGCTTATGACGTATGTCCAAGATGGCGCATGCTCTTTGTCTTGCTCACCCTTGAGAGGTGAGCAGAGAGAGAGAAGCCCGTGTCCGTACCAGTCACCTTTTTTTCTCTCTCTCTCTCTCTTCGAGTTAGCCTGGTGAACTCCCCCCGCCCCGGGTGTCGTTCCCTCTAGTCTCCTCTCTCCACTTGCCTGCCGGTGGCTCGGGATATTGAGGTTCGGCTCACCTCGCGTTCCAGCGCTGGTGTGTTGAGTCTGCCACTGGTGTCCCGAACTGTGGGTTCCCACGCTCTCGACACAGGTCCACTGTGAATCACACGTTCCGGAAGAGTTTCTTCTGCTGTTTCCTCCCCTACTCTTCCTTGAACCTGCAGTATCTCCACTTTTATTAAACTGTCTCTCCCTGGACTATCAGTGTGCTCCCTTCCTATTCCGCCATCTTGCCTCCTCCCCAGTACATCTTATGATTTAAATACCGAGTGTTGAGCTGTGATGACTTAGAAGAGCAACAGTGAAATTTGAATGATGAATATGTATTGTGTAAAGTAAAATATTGTATTGTTTCATTTGAGATAGTGTTCTTCTAGGCATATTGTAATGAGAGAGGAAAACTGCCAGAAGAAGTGTGGGCAAGCAGAATATGACATCTCAAGACAGAGAGTGGCTTTGAGGGTATAGAGGTCAAGAGCTGTGAAGAAGTACAGACAGGTGAAAGACACCAGGCCCTGGTACATGGTAGATAGAACTTTTAGGACAAAACGTCTACACTGTGTGGCAGAGAGTTGCTTGGGCTCAGTGCAAGAGAGCAGTGATGGAGGATAAAAGCAACAGTGTCCCTATAGGAACAGAGCAGTTTTCTCAGTGATGTTGGTTTCACTGTGTATGGAAGAGAGACCCCCAAAAAACTCAACTGTGAAAGCAGTTACGCTGCATGTCGGGAGTTTTGAAAGTGAAGTTTGGCAGAACATCACAGTTCTATAGTGAAAAAACTAACTCTTCCAGAGCAGAATTTTGGTGCATGTGATGGAGTAAAACCCCAATGCATGACAACTCAACATTTTCAAACTCCAAGTGACAAGTCAGGTGCTTTGGTGCACACATGCGTTAGGATATTATAGGTGTGAATTTGTATGATGTCTGGAGCCCTGTCTGTTCTCAGACCTCAATACGTGACCTTGAGAATATGCAGGAATAGGAAAAAGCAATGAGCTTTGCCACATGTGTACACCCATGACCACTGTTGCTTGTTCCAGAAAGCTCAACCCTACACCAGTGTGATGCACAACCTGCGTACTCTTTGGAGGAAAAGACCCTGGCCAAGAAGTCCGATGAAACATCTGATGAAATGGATTGCCACCTCGGCCACTCAGATTCACATGTATCCCCTATTTCTGGTAAGGGCAGTGTGAGCTGAGGTGGGGCACACCAGTATATAGGAGAGGGAAACAGACGTGTGGTCTCCAAGCTGTTTAACATTTGTCCCAGAGTGAAGTAGTGTACCCATAAGAGCAGTCACCCTCTTACAAGAATAGGGGTGAAATAAAGACATTTAAAAAGGTTATCAAAGGAAGAAGTAAGTGCAACAGTAGCTGACACAGTCTGTACACGATAAAATCGACAGAACTCATGGTGTGGCCCTCAGGAACAAGTTCTGAGCTAAGTCTTTTGAGAGTATGTGACTGCATATAAGCTTCGATGGCTTAAATCCCCAAAACAATAATACCAATTCAGAACTGATAAATCAGCCCTGATTAAATTGCTGAATTCAACACCATGTCAATGACCCAAAGTAGTCATATTCTAAGGTCCTGCTATTGTTCAGATTATGGATAAAACTAGTCCTACCAGCAACTATGAACTAGGGACCTAAGAGTATTAGGTATGTAGGGACCTCCCGTGTGTTAGAAAAAGCCTTAATTCAAGCTTAGTATATAAGCTTATACCGTGTAAAGCACTGTTACATATCACCGCGAGCTTACCTATTAGAAATACACATGCTGTAAACTGTTCTCTTACAGACCCGGCAGCAGGGGGACAGATAACACAAAATATGGCTTGCGAGGTTCGCATTCTTTATATTTGCAGGACTGGTCAGTCCCCTGTTGCTTGTAGTGGAGAATGCCCTTGCTTGTTAATACTTGGATTATGGTCTTAGTACTCTGGGATTGATAGCTTCTCAATTCTTAGCTCCAGCTCTTGCTTCCATCTGTCAGAACTCACCCATTGTTGACCTTCATGCCCTCTATTAAGTATCCTTTGGATGGCATTTATAACCTACATATGTGGTAAAAGATCATCGCCCCACCTCAAAATCCATGATTCAGTACCATCTGTAAAATCATCCTTGACATACTAGGGACCATCCTAGGGCTTTCCTGATGGAGACATGAACAGTTTGTGAGGGCAGGATTACGCAACCTTTCACAGCGATCATGCAATTGTTAAAGAGAATGAAGGAGACATAGATAAATGAATGTTACAATTTCTTACAATGATTGCACCCTGACAGCATATTTTCAACAGGTGCATCAAAAGGGACTCCACAAACAGTGTGTATGCATTGTGTCCACTTAGCCTTCAACACCCAGATACAACACTTTCTTTAGAACCTTTGTCCAGGAGGCAGACTGTGGTCAGGGTACTTATGCAGCTCAGAGCAGTTGGTTGGTATTCACTGAATGCTGAAATCATCTCTATTCCTGTGACAGCAAGGCCCCTTGGGGACAAATGCCTTAAACAATATATGCATTCTGTGCACTGTTCATTTGAATAGATGCAGAACCCAGATGAAGTTGCATCTCAGGGTTGTCATGTTGTCATCCTGTTCCACAGAAATATCTAAGGCGCTGGAGAATGCTTCTGAGTCATGTGCGACATTCTCATCCCATCCTAAGTCAGAAGAATATTTCTCCAACTCTGATGTTGACTGCTTTGTTTCTTCTCTGAGTGATTCCATTGCTGTGGAAACAAAAGGTAAGGCAGATTCTAAGGGAAAATATGAATTTTGATGAATGTTGCAGCTGAGATCCCCGTGCCAACTCCTGCTCACTCTGCACTGTGCTCACAATATGAGAGTGTTTCAGGGCACAGAGACTAGGATGAGGACTCCAGGAAGAGACCCATAGGGAGTGTAAGAAGAATGATTCACAGTTCTCAGTAACAATTTGCCATCATTCAGATGGCTTTAATTGAGCCCTGGGCTGTGCTAACATTATGATGGTGTAGGCCGAGCTTCTCCTAGCACACTGACGCAGTCTCCTCATGCAGTTGTTCCTCCAGCTCCATATCATAGATGGCCAGATTTTCTGTTTCTCTGGGAAGTCCCCTCAAATCCACCTCCATTCCTTTCATTCATCTCTTTTTTTTTTTTTTGACAGGCAGAGTGGACAGTGAGAGATAGAGAGGCAGAGAGAAAGGTCTTCCTTTTGCTGTTGGTTCACCCTCCAGTGGCCGCTGTGGCCAGCAAGCTGCGGCTGGCGCAATGCACTGATCAGATGGCAGGAGCCAGGTGCTTCTCCTGGACTCCCATGCAGGTGCAGGGCCCAAGGACTTGGGTCATCCTCCACTGCACTCCTGGGCCATAGCAGAGAGCTGGCCTGGAAGAGGGGCAACCAGGACAGAATCCGGTGCCCCGACCGGGACTAGAACCTGGGGTGCTGGTGCTGCAGGCGTAGGATTAGCCTGTTGAGCTGCGACGCTGGCATCATTCACTCTTATGATATTTTATGTGAACACTCTCATACTCTCCTTCCTGCAGCAGCGTTCCTTTACATTTAGTCATCCTTCACATCCTCTAACAGAAATAACACATCGATCTTCCTAGTTCAAAGTCACGCACTAGAATACATTTATGTCTGAACAAAATTCACTCAGTTCACTCACAGATAGGCGCACAGCATTTCCTCACATGTCATTGTGTCTAAAATGCCCCTCAGCCCTCAAAGAAATGCAGATGCTGAGTCTTCTGTGTGTGTTCTCCAACATGCTCATTTACCATCTCTTAGACCTACAGAGGCACAAGCCCGTTCATCAGACACACACACACACACAAATACCACTTAACATGTACACCATGAAGACATTGACCACACACACACACACACACACACACACACACACACACCCCACAGAATGCATGTCATGGCAGAGAATACATACACACCATAATTTCCTTTCAGAAACACCCAAAAATTACCAGATATATAACAGAACACATCAGCCTCCACCAGACTCAGTGCACTCTCTTCCACATACTAAGAGATGGTAACCAAACACCTCACCTCACACATAGAAGACTGTGCCTCTCACACACATGACCCTCAGACCAACTTGAACCCCACAGATTTCAGGACGTTCTGCCAGCATTTTTACATTTGACGTTCTCTTGCCTAGAAATCTGCAAATCAAAAAAAGAGGCCCTGTGTATCCAGTCTAGGAAGATACCTCTACTCCAGGATCTGAAGCAACATCAGACTCCCTACCCGACCCAGTGCCGCTGCTTTAATTTCCATTTGGCTCATGAGCCCTGCACACCAGAAACACATATGAGGAAGGAGAGGCTCATGAAAGTCTATTACACGAGAGTCCAGAGGAAAAGAAATGCCAGCGTTGTCTGCTACACTCCAGATGAACTTGTGCCTCCCGGAAAGAGATCAAAAATTGAAGATGTAGCTTTTCCTGTCAAGATTCGTGCAGATCCCAGCTTTTGCTATCAGTCTTCAGAGTATCTTGTAACTGATGACTCCACGTACAGTGTGGAAGACAAAGAACAGGATCAGGAGGCTTCCAGCTGCCAGGCAGTGTTGTCAGCTGCAGAAGAGAATTTGCAGGCGAGGGCCAGCACACCTGAGTGGCTGGTGACCCCAGAGAGAGGATTCAAGTGCATGGCCTGCTGCCAAGTCTTCTCCAGCCTGGGGGACCTTGTAGACCATGTGAAGCATGGGGTCAAGGGGGACTTTAGTTGCCAGGTTTTCCATCTTGCCTTCACCTGGCTCGAAAGCAAGAGGCACATGATGGAGAAGAGGAACAAAAGAAAGAAGTCCACCAGGAAGACATCTGGATACAAGGAGAAATAGCTAGATAGGCAGAAATTCCCACACCAGTAATCTAGTCCCTTACCAGCCCCCATTAGCGAGCAGCCACGCCCTCCTGAGACAGCCTATCAGCACTAAGAAGCCCTAGTCCCCCTGTTATCTCCACACTCCACCATCACTGTTATCAGAGGACTCCTTAGAGTGGGATCCATTCCTCTCCATAGGTAAAAGAGAGCCAATTTTTTGAGGAGTATGAATGGAAAGAGACAAGTAAGAAACCCCAATTACTCCAAGACCCGTATTGAGTAGATGACTTTACTCTATCCTCTGGGAAAAATTTTCCACGGTATTCACTAGGAACCCTTAAGTGCAGACTTTTTCCTTAAATATAAGCAACTACATAAGAGGGACAACAGGGCTTTTCTCTCCTGTCCTGGATCATGGATGGTTGTTTTTATTTATGATTTGCCTTCTAGAGGACTCTCATGACCACTTTAGGAAATTTAAATAAATCTTACATCTTACTCTCTTTCTTACAGCATCAAATTTTCATACCCCAAGTGACCGCCTGCGAAGTATTAAGTGTAGCATAGAGTTTTTGCAAGGTCTGGTTCATATCCAAGGTTATATCACTAACTCATGGACACATCAAGTGCCCTCCTATTTTCAGCAGATCACTTAAGCAGTGTTTCATATAAATTGTCCTCAGTTTACCAAACCATGCAGGAGATTTTTTTTTTCTTTATTGACAGGCAGAGTGGACAGTGAGAGAGAGAGACAGAGGGAAAGGTCTTCCTTTTGCCGTTGGTTCACCCTCCAATGGCCACCGCTGCAGCCGGCGCACCGTGCTGATCCGAAGGCAGGAGCCAGGTGCTTCTCCTGGTCTCCCATGGGGTGCAGGGCCCAAGCACCCGGGCCATCCTCCACTGCACTCCCTGGCCACAGCAGAGGGCTGGCCTGGAAGAGGGGCAACCGGGACAGAATCCGGCGCCCCGACCGGGACTAGAACCCGGTGTGCCGGCGCCGCTAGGCGGAGGATTAGCCTAGTGAGCCGCGGCGCCGGCCCATGCAGGAGATTTTGAGAGTGACTGAGAGCAATAAGACAAGCTTCCAACATTTCCTGAATTGATTGTCTCACAGCCAGGCCGGCACAGGGCCTGAATTCAGGTGTCCAGTGTAGTGCAGCATTCCAGTGAACGAACAGTCAAAGCTGGGCTGGACATAGATGGAGCAGGTTTTCTGTGCTGCTTCTAAATAACCCTCAACAACATGAAAAACCAGTTCTGAACAAAACATCCACAGAGCTGTGAGGAGCCCAGGGAACCCAGAGCACACTTCATCTTCATCAGGACACTCCCCGATACTCTGAATCCCACAACAGGAAGAGGACACTGAGAGGGCTTCTGTGGTAACTTTGTGAAGAGGAGAGTATAGGTAGAGAGATTTTCAGAACACAAAGAAAATTTTATACACATTGATCTATCCAGTAGTGGGTTGCTCTATTGAGAGAAGATGTAAGGTATTCTCGTTCTCTTCCCATATGGAGGCCTAGTCTATCTTATGAAATACCTACCTTTAATTTCTTGTATACTTGAATACCTGTAATCTCACAGTTCTTCCAGGCAGATACTGAATTTCACCCATTCCACTTAATGCTTCCACACTACTGTCTCCTATATAGAACATCTATGAATATGTGCTTGACACAGGAAAAAAGTGAAATGCGGAACTTAAGTCACATGAATTTTAATACCCTTCTGTCCTGCATTCATCTCCTCTCGGTCCTTCCATGTTGACTAGTAGTTCATCACATGTTTCTTAATCTTTCTCTGAACATAACCCAGACCTTGTCCCAACTTTCCCCCAGTGCTCTGTCTTTGCATTGTCTGGCTGGAGGGCAGGCTTTTTATGGAAAGAAGGAAGTAAGATCCTTCATGGGTGAGCCAAAGGCCATGGTAACCCACCACTTGGCCTCTCCGAGCTTGTGCAGACACACAGGTGAACACGCACTTCTCCAGTGACAGTAGGAAGGATGGATATGTGTTAAGTGACCCAGGACAAACACCTGTATATAAAGGTGCACCCCAAGCCATAAGTTTTTGTTCTGCTTGAATGTAGTCTGGGTCGCTTATTGTTGTTTGTCATGTAGTACAAATTAATCCATGCCTGTTAGCATCATACATGTGAATTTCTTCCATTTTGGTTATTTAAGACATGTATTCCTAAAATGAATGGCAATTGATGTCCTCACATTGATGTTGAAACAGTAGAGGATTTTCTTAAGCTCAGTCAATACACAGTACCCTTGATTGATTAGAGACATTGAAATTGCTTGAACATCTAAGTGGAATGATTGGACAGCAGTACAGTCGGTCTGACCTTGAAGTTCCTCAGTAAGTCCTGAGCTTAAATTTGTTTACACAGCACTGTGCTTTGCACCCGGTATCTCATCATGAAAGGAGATGTCAGCATTCAGCAACTCATTTAAATACTACAGAGATGAAGTACGCATCATATGTGTGAGGATAGTGGGCTGGTAGAAGCACAGCTTTAGTATACCTCTTTATCATAGTTATTATTTCATACACTAGACATTCTAATTGCCGATGCATCACAAATCAGGATATTAACATTTATAGTGGTTAAAACATATACTGAAAATCCACTGTGTTTTTGACTGCCAAACCCTTTACTGTCATCATTGCCCTTTTACAACATATTATCTGAATGCCACACACACAGAGACATACTTTTAATCTGACTTCAGCCTCATTCCTCCTTTTAAATATAAACAATACTACATATTTACGGGAACACAGACATTTAAGCACAAGCTCAGGAAATGTGCAGATCAAATCAGGATAAGTAATATTTCTCTTTTACATTACATTGTGTAGGAATGGAGGTTTGGAGTTACTTCTGTTTGTTCATAAGAGGTAT